GTTTTTCTCATCACCCTATTTTTCCCTCTACAGATTATTCCACCTAAAACCTCTTTTCTCCGCTTCTCTACCACTGACCGAAGAAAAAAAAATAGTAATGAAATAAATCACATAAATACAAACTTCCAACTCTCAACATGCAAATTTAGACGCCACAAAAAAAAACCCAGAAAACCCATTTAATTCATCCCACTTTATAAACAGAAAAATCATAATAATCTAAGAATATTATTATGTCATATACTGCGATATAGTAGGATATTTAAAAATCTTCAAAAAAATTAATTAGATACTAAATATTTGTAAATAAGAAAAAAATAAGCAGATAAACAAGTAAAAAAAAGAGACCAATAGAGAAGAAAGATATTAGGAAAAAATTATTAGACGGTAAAACATCAGAATCCTCTCAAGCATCCACTTAGACACAAAAACCTTCTAATCTTAGAAATCTTTCCGACGCAATAATAATTTTCCTGCACTAAAAAATACTGAAAAAAGCATTCTCATATCGTCCGGAAAACAGCATTTACATTCTCCGCAAAAAAAGTAACAGATAACAACACTTTAACTGACCCAAAATGAATGTAAAAACAAAAAATCCCCTAACTTCGAACAAAATCTGCATTGCAACACCAAAAAATTGCTGGAAAGAGCTAGTTAGCAAAAATAAAAAAAAATAAACCAGAACCCAAAAAAACGTTACTTCCAAAATTGAAACTGAAAAAAAAAATAATAGAAGTAAACGAAAGCCATTCTCAATAATTAAAATCACGGAGAAGTATTAATGATTTGCCCCCTGCAAACGACATATACCTTAAAAATGACTGTTAGAAAAAACCTCTCTGCGCAATACTGATCGTTATTTACACACCTTGTGAGATACAACATAGACAACCTTCAAAAAACACAAAATAAAGTTTTCCTTATTTCTCATTTTTTTTCCTCATTTTCCAGCTTTTCTACTTTTTGGTCCACAGTATGATCAAAAATACTCAAGTTGTAGCTCTTATAATGGTATAATAAATGCATATCAAATCTGATTAAAAAACACACAGACTAAACCAACAGGTTTAATACTGGTGGAAAATATACCGCAGCTACATTTGAGATTAACCGTAAATCTGAACAATCGCAACCAATAATTTTTGCAACTCGTTCCGATGACATGTCTGATGGTTCTACAGGAACATCGCGTCCTGCTACTACTTCTAACAATGATATTGACTTTGCCAATATATTTCCTAAAGCATCTTCAATGAAGGATATTAACGTCGATGGCATCGTTCCTACTTCATACAAACCATTAAATTCCTCCAACATTGCGACCACCGACTCACACGGTGACGTCATTTGAGATTCTTCTACCCTGGACTCATCCCCAGAAAAAACCTAGAAAAAAAGTAAATTAGTCTTAACAAAACATTTGGTGTTGTTCTTCCTACAATATTCTGCCCAAAAGCCAACATTCGCAACAGTATGCTTCAGCAATAATCAGCCTCAATCATTGCCTTTGTTTTTTAACAAAGACTAGGCCTCTTCCTATCAACCATCATTAGCATCTCTGCCCTTTTAACCTAAACCCTTGTAAGAAATGAACACGTGACTGCTTTACTAACAATTCAGAACTCCTGCAATGAACTACGCACCATCACTGCACGCTGAAACAAGTCTCCATGCCACAGTATCATAAACAGCCTGCACAAAGCCACCTGTGTCTCCAGCATGAACAAAGCAACAAAAAATATTTACCCTAACTGTAAAATTGCTAGTATCCCCAATAACTATCACAGTTGGTTTGAAGTTGGATGTTTCAGAAACTGCAGAAGACGAGGACGAGTCTGGCGATGAGGGACAAAATAACTCGGACTCTCCATTTTTCACATGGTCGATCATTGAACTTAAGGTCTGAAAAACAAATTAGTCACAAAATAAAAGAGCATCAACATCTTTCAGAAATATCAAGATACATAAACCTCTGATCTAACCTCACTCATATTAATCGAAGATAGCTTCAAACCAGATAACACAAAGTGTGAGCAATATCCTTCACAAGGTCCAGCAATCAGTGATCGTGCCAAAGACATATCCATCGTTTCAGCATTACGTAAATATTCAGCACATTCTGGAAACTCCCAGTCACTACTTTGTTTCTTCTCCTTCCCTCTTTTCCGTCGATTTTTTGCACCGTTTAAAACTAAAGTGTAACCATCATCACAGTTCCAATAATACAACTAATCTGACAAATGCGAAGTAATGAATGATACAACCCTCATTATTCACAGATGCGACAGTAAACAAACGCAGGTAAGAAAGTAACGTCCAAACCATCAAAAAAATTTAAAAGATTAGAAATCATTCTTTTCAGATGCGCCACAAACGGTGGTAGTCATTACCCAAAAATAAATTTTCAAATACTACAAAACGATAAAAGCATACCAGTAGCTTGTAATATTTCCTTTATTAGATTTTAAAGAAAACACTTTTCAACAAGGATAGACGTGTTACGAAAAACTATAAGTAATTAGAAATACCTTTAAGCGCAGCACTTTCATTGAATCTCGATTTTGGGGGATAATATAAACTGTTTTTTACAGGAAAAGGTTTCGGTTCACTGGGGACGACAAAAACAGTTGGATCATGAGCCCACGCATCAGCTTAAAAATTAAGATTTCTGTATTAATTGGTCAACACTGTAAAACAAGAAAGGGGCAGAAAAAATTGCTAAATGTCAAAAACTTAAGTAAAACCCCTTCTTTTATCTACAAAAAAAAAAAAAAAAAACACGAGAAACAATATCATACGTACCAGCGACAGCGTTAACCCTAAGCGCAGAACACCTAACGAAATAAGACAAGACAAATATCAGCTTTGTAACTAAAGCCATGTCGTCTCCCAGAATAACTGTCCGAGCCAACCGTTGAGCGGCTCCGACACTTCCACATACCTCCATATATTGAGCCAGTTGAGTGTTATACGGATACCGAAAGACTTCAAGATCGAGCTTCTAAAATGTGACTATCATTAATAAAAACAATGCGCTAAAAAAGTCCTAAACTGTACAGTTACCAAAAACACTTGTTATTTTGATAAAAAAGCAACAACGACCCATACTACGAAAAAAAGGACTATTTCCCCTACAAAATAGAAGGCTGAAATATAAGACCAAAAAAAACAGGAAAAAATTGTGTGACAGTATTTATAGAAATTACCGTTCCCAAAATAAAAGATTCGCGAGTCTTTGAACAAATATCTGGTGCAGCAACACTTGCTACCCATGTTAAGTGGTTGATCAAGACGGAAGATATCAAGTTCGAAAGAAAACTGTAAAAT